CTCTCAACTCACGCAACGCCATCGTTTATCAACAACTCGATAATGAACGCTACGATTCCAAACGCCTTCTACGTACAAACGCTCAGGTACTGGGATACGAGACAATCTAATTCATTACTGTTGGTCAATAGTCTGCAGGTGCCGCGGCTCGCAGAACGCGACATGAGCGAGCGAATTCCAGATAAGGAATGGGTGTACAAGGAACATATCATAAAATGGACCGAGGTGTTCGGGAAAATGAAAGAAAATTTCATTTACAAACCCGCGGAAATGTGTCTTACATTGTCTTCTTTGATTCTCTGACTAAAATTTAATTAGAATGTGTCCTTACTGAGCAGTCGCATCGATTGTCCTTAAACAAGAAGTCCCCTTAGTATGTACAGAGCTTATTATTGTTAAGCTAATGTTGTTTGAATGACTGAAAGCAGAATGGAATGTCTGGATGTCAGCTGAACATCTAGGTAGGACATGAGGGTCCCCTTTACCCGAAACTCTACCCTCAACCCTTGCGGCATTACGGTGTCCTATACCTAAGACCACCACCACTACACCGGGGTTAGGGTCTTTTATACCCAAAACCAATCTCTTCATCGCCACGGTTTGCCTGCCATACAACGACCCTACCTCCCACTAGCTCCGACGCATCTTACGCTTAGTCGAGAACAAGGTATTTCATTCTCTGCCAAACGTAATCCAATCCATCCTCTACACCTCACAGCAGTCAGCATGGTGTGTACCACATTCCCTGTGAAGAAACTAAGGTGTACATCTGTGGAAACAGGCAGAAACAAGCAGACGGAGAGGGTTCGACAAATTGGTCATCGTCAAGCACGCCCACATCTCGGGCCACCAGATTCACCGGAACTCTGCACAACCCATCGCTCTCGTCAAGAACTAGCTACCAGGAAGAATATGTAAAGCCATCAATATATTCAATCATTACTCGGTACTCAGTCCAGCTCAGCGACATATTGCATCCGCCACCCGAAGCAAAGGCCATTCCTTTCCCGGGCATTAGGGTGACCTATACCTAAAAAATAACCACTTTTCCATGGCCACCTCCCCAGGTATTGGGGTCTCCTCCACCCAACCTCTTCCAAAACAGATCTTACCATGTGGTGTTACCGCAAGCCCTGCCTTTACATTAATTACAAAAATGAATTGATAAATTATAATTCTTAAAGACTAGTCCACAGCAAAGTTCACTGAAACTCCAAAACAGACTCTTTTAGCATCTATCAAAATCAATGAAAACAGAAACCTGATGGTGCATTTTGCAATTGTTCGCGAGTGTCACCGGGTGATTGGGCATAGAGCCTGCTATAATGGGGTTGTTGCTTTGTTTGAATATGGCAATAGTACGGGGTATTGTCTAAATATATTAACAATAAAAAAATTACATGACAGTCGTTTCTTTCCGTAATACTTTCTTCAATTTAATAACAATCATTAAGATTTTTGATCTCCTTATATGAGAGACCACACATTCCAAATTTAGTATCCTTGCGGAGACATAGCTTTGTTCTCCAGTACTAATTCGGTTGCGTGTGAAACCACCTATTCAAAATGCTCCCATTCCAAAATGAATCACTCTCTTGGGCTGAAATTTGGACCGAATGTCCCTTATACTTCCAATTGCAACAGATTGTTACACATTAAAAGTTTCTCCTTTTTGAGCTATTTCCAAATATCAGTTTCGCGAAATCTGTGTGGAGACCTATTCAACCCATTCTTTTGCGTCTCCACAAGGCACCGTATTTCGGCACTTTGTTCCTCAATAAAATACCTATAATTCAAACCCACAAAAGAAAACACACACATAATACCTACTCTACATATTTCTTAAATTGATGTACTCTAACCAGGTCAAAGGCTTTGTAAAGTATTTATGTCATTTTTGTATTTTTGTTAAAATTTCAATAATTGTTCTGAAAAGATTACTTTTCTTTCCTCGAAATTAACCACATTGTTTAGCTCTTTCACGTGTTCTTTCCTCTTAAATTTAAACCATATTTCCAGAAAGCTAAGCCAAGTTTTACATATTACTATACATAATTACAAAACTTTAACGACCGATCTGTAAGGCTTTCCTCGAGAGGAAATGACCTCATTTGTGGTTAATACTGGAACATGACCATGAGATATACTGAGGCCAAAATACTGGAAAGTTGAGAAGTAACTTAAGTACAAGAGTTCTTTCAATGGCTAAGGCTGTAACTGTTAACAAGAAGAAGATGGAGAACTCCTTTTTCAACTGTATCGATCTTCTTTTGCCAAAACGTTCAATTTTAGTTAAACTGAAAATTAGAAGATACGTTCGCCCTCATAGCCGTGGCTTTTGATGTGAGATGTATACATTGTATCATTTATTTCTGCTAGATCCTTTCATCGGGAGAGTTTAGAATTGTGACTTCGTATTGAAACTCTTGATAATCCGACAACGTTATATACTCCTGGAAAGAAATACGATAAAAAAGTTTAAATGTCAACAAAAGAGCAGTAGTGAGTACATGAAAAAATTGTGAACAAATGTGACATTTTTAAACGTTTACCTCTTGTGATCCCTCAGTAAAAGCTTTCTACGGCAAAATGTTTGTTATGACGTTTTCTAAAAGGGTAAAATGAATATTTAAATCTCGTTCTTTGTCCAAATGACCTCACAAATGTGTTTCAAGTATGCAATTGGTATACTGTTAACCACACACTGACTTACATGTGGTGACTCGAGTGCTTTCTCCAGCTTCTGACCGATCTCTGTGAAAGACGGTCGTGCGGTAGATTCCTCCTGCCAACAGGCTAACATCATCTGATATCTACGAGAATAAAAACAACATCGAACAAATGTTTTTACTTTAATAGGAATAGGGCCCACATAAGGTTCACATCTTGGAATCTTGTGTTGTGCTACCAGCCAGATCTGGGTTTTCAGCCAAGCAAAGGTACACTTTTAGATGTTACAATAATATTTACACTTGTAAGCAACTACAAGTGAAAGAATTCTTTTACTACATCAACAAGAGCCTTTCGGCGCCGATCCAAAGGGAGTACCCCCATATTTTGATGGGTAGAGCCTATATTTTAAGGTTGGAAAAACCCATTAAGTATAAACCGTCTAGTGCTGTTTTTTAAAATTCCACCACCGGTCTCTGTTTCGCAGATATATTTCACACTTATGTTTCTCCAGAAAAGAATAGCTGGTTTCTTACATTTTGTCTTGGCAGTGGTCGGGTCTTGGCATACGATATCCTTCCTGTAGCTTGGTTATCATTGTCTTTGCATTCAGAGTAGGATACGGACGAGCGCCTTTAAAGTATTGTAGCACAAACCAAATTATTAAATTTCCAGGGTTTAATAAACTTTGAAATATATTCTCTGAATGATATTAAAAAGTTATCTTTTGTCAAGAATTCAAACTGAAAGTTTCAATTGTTGTTTACTAAATAAACAGGCTTTTAAAAAAAAATGCAGACATTTTATTAAGGAAGGGGTCATCTTTTAGACCAAACTCCCACAATGATTAGTAAGCAATTTAAAACTTACCAAGTGTTACGATTTCCCACAAAAGTATACCGTAGGACCATACGTCACTCTCCGTTGTGTAGACGTCATCAACAACTGATTCCAGAGCCATCCAACGAATAGGCAACCATCCCTTTTAAAATAATAATAATGCTAATAATAAAAAGTGAGACTCTGACATTTCTTTCTCACTTGTTTTACCCAAGTCTATCAAAGAGCCAAAAACCAAATTGCCATTACCTCCGACTGTCTTTGGTACATTCTCTTATTCTTGATGTCACGAGCAAGTCCGAAATCAGACACCTTACACACCATGTTCTCACCAACAAGAACATTACGAGCAGCTAAATCTCTGTGAATGCACTGTTACGAAGAAAGAAAATTCCAAATTATTATACTGCACAGTATAAGCTCATGGTTGATGGGCCATTTCATAGAGGGGCCCTTTCGATGTGTAGGCTCATCTCGGTGGCCATCCAGCTTCGTGCCGTTTTGGTTTCCAGCTCCTCGTTTATTCACATTTACAGCTCCGATGTTGATAAAAATGGTTGTTGACTTGAAGTCAAATGAACCCTGGTGTTGTTTTCAAATCTGCACTCTTTTAATTATTAATACGTCATGGGTATTTGGAGGCATTTGATGTACTTGTGGTAAAGTTTAAATGATATACACGAAGAAAGGCATATGTACCTTTCCCTTAGGATGTGAAAACTTAGTTTGAGTCTCTTTATTGAAGTAAAAATAGCTCTAGCTTGAGAATGAAGACTTTAATACCCACCTGCTGTGAAGCAAGGAAGGCCATACCCTGAGCCACGTCCTTAGCAAACTTGAGGAGGTCTCTGGATGTCAGAGTTTTACTCCTTCCATGAAGGTTGCTATACACCTGCTTGCCTTTTCCTCGACTGCTTGTTAAGACATCTTTGAGTGGGCCTTTCGACATGTACTCCATGATGATATAAATGGGATCTGTACCAACCAGATTTAAACAAAAATCTTTTCTGGTTGTAGATTTTAAATTATTCAAAATGTTGAAATCATATTTCATGTAAAAGCTTGCGAAGTTGATTATGTGATGTCATATGCTCAAACATTAATTAGACTCGTCACTGACTACTTTGCTGGTCATTACTCATTTGCAAGTTATTGATTAACAGGTGGATAGAGAAATCGATGCCTTTACATTTTGAATGCTTTTTCACAGCATTGACAAGAAGCAAATATCACTCCCCCCAGGAAAGTTACACTTATAGGACATGTAATATACATAATATATGTAATACTAATATCCAATGTTAAGAGAACATAAGCTGAAAAATGAATGAATGTTTACATACATGGATTTACCGAATTATGTTCTCTACGTACACGGATGTCCCAAATTACGTTCTCTTTAAAAGCAACCTTGCTTGTTCGAAGGGATTTATTGTGGAAAGGATTTTTCGGTTTCAATCTGACATTTCTGTTTTACCTTTATCAACACAAAAGCCAAGAAGCTTGACGACATTCGCGTGGCTTGGAAGTTGTTTCATGAAGTCCAACTCTCGTAGCAAATCTCCCCTCTCCATTAGATCTGCGCCATCTGTAATTGAAATGTTGTACAGTATGCCGTCAGTAAATATGATATTTGTGGTCATTTCTAATAAAGTGAACTTACACGTTTTCTCAGAAAGACAAAAATATGCATTGAGTTGTGTCGTGTAATAATAACGGCAATGGCAAGACTGCCCTACAGATTTTGCGAATTACCTCTGAGGGTTTTAAGTGCTACTTGAGTGGCAGTTCCCAACTGGACAATACCAGTAGCTTTACCCAGCAACACCTTTCCAAAGGCACCTTGTCCAAGTTCACGTACAATTGTCAGCTTGTCTCGCGAGAATGCCGAGGCAGTTTCGGAAATACTGGCGTAGGCCGATTTACCTGGATCACTGCTGCTCTTAATGGACAATATTTGCAGGGGTACGTCTGCAGAAAATTTGAGATATTACAGGTATAATCATGTTGATTTGGCACTAAAATCGTTTTCAACAACCTCTAAAAAGTCTACTCTTTTTCTTTGGCCAAAACGCTATTTAGAAAGTCATCTCACCCAAATCTTGGTATTCCACTGCCTCATTAATGACAGCACGTTTTCCCTCTGGCGTGGGTTTTCTGAGAAGTCAATGATTAGCCACAAATACAAGTAAAGAAATTAGTAACGCTACTATATAATTTTGAAAGATATGCCAAGAGAGGGATGCAAAGTACTTTACAATTCTGCACTGTAAAATTGTGCGCATGTTTGAAAAAGAAATGCCCAAAAGTCCACGCATCCTCCTACCTATTATGAAATTCGAAAATGATCACTTCAAGGAAAAAATCAATTTTATTTACAACAACGTTCTTTCCCCGCATAGCCTCAAAAAAAGCCCATTTAAAAAAAAAGAGGACGTACCGATACTCCTTCGGTTGTCTGTTTTCTGAAAGATAACAAAGCGCAATCTTAATTAAATAATAAATACTAATGAAATATCAAAACAGTTGTGTTAGTTTCATTATTCTAGTACAGTACTATTGCCACAATGCAAACAAACATGAACATAAAAACGCTAGTGCATACATACAATCTTCTCCACAGAGAATCTGTAAAGGTACCTTTCTGACAAGAATTGTGAAACCAATCCCGTTTGCAATAAGGAAACTTTACACCTTTTTATTTTTTTTACTTATCAAAGTATATTTTATGTTATACCCAAATCATATAATCCATTCCACCTATCCGATCAGGTACCATCAGTTTTTGTCGTCTTATTGTGACACTCTGTTTTGGCATGTCTCCTGCTCCAATTACTTCTCTCGAGAGGTAAACTTTGTCGAGTTCTAAAGCTCACTTAGATACTCAGTTACTGTCAGTCAACATCGGTATGGAAGGAGCACTTGAAGTACACAGAAGTAAAAGACAAATGGAATTTCAGGAGCTGTTGCTTTATTGCCTGTAACCATTCATATAGCGGGATTCAACATTACTTTGCTCCAGGTGTAGCTAACACCTTACCTCCTTGTGATCCTCTGTTTCTTCTGATATCTCTGATTGTTACAACATTCAACGTGATGCTGATTAATGCAATGATGGCAAGAATCACCAGACCAGCAATCAATCCAGCATTATTAGACTGTCTTCCACCTAGGTTTATTAGAACAGAGCGTAAAATAACTGCAAACATATTTTACACCGTAATCCCTCTGTAAAACTTATCAAAGTACGTTTTGAGATGAATACAATCATATTTTGCCACAATTCTCAGGAATGTTTCTATCATGTGAAACATACATGGATAGTGTTGTAAAAACTTCATGTTAAATAAACCTGACCTGACACTGCAGACGTGGCGATACTGCAGAGGCCTTTCCGACAGTAGCTGGATCGAACCTCTTGAATGGCTAGATCTGTGTTTGTCTCGAGACAGCCCCCATAATTAAACCATGGACTCTGATCCGTAAGACGAGCTTCTAACTGTAAACATGTTGATATGTCGCCATCTTGGGGAATACCGTCAACTGATACGCTTCCTGTTTCTTGATTTGTGGTGACAACAATACCTGAAAAACGAAAATCCAACGACCACTCTTTCCAAGAACCAAAAGATACCCGCTAACGTGCCGCATACTTTTTTTTCTAATCTGGTCATCTCTTTGCCAAGGGTGTGATGTATTGGAATATACTACTTTCTGAGTTACAAACAAGCAAGAACACTTGCCAATGTCAAGCTTTACGAATTAACTCACCTAAATTCTCAGGAGTGTCAGCTGTATGTAGAAGAGACAAGAAAAAAATTAATGTAATCTTAACGAAGCATTTATCTCGCATCGGCAATACCAAAGAATTTTAAAACTAATGAAGATTACAGAATTGGTCCCTCGATGAATGAAACAGGTGAAGTACATGAAGCTTGACTTACGTCGAGTCCTAAAACTCCGTTTGACGCTGTCACTAAAGCCATTTTGATTCTCGGCGAAAACCTCGATTTCATACAAAGTGTAAGGACGAAGTCCTTCAATCACATACTGAAAGACATCATTGTCTATTCTGGCGCGGGTGTCGGGGTTGAACACTGTCATTGTTTCTACTTCGCGGTAATTGATGAAAAACCACTGAGCTTCCCCTTCATCATTGCCAGATATCCAGGAAATTGTAACCGAAGATTCTGTGACTGTACTTGGGTTGACTGACACATCCTCTGGTGGCAACGGTTTGACTATGAAATGGAGAGCAGTGTAAAGGAACATTAAGATTCCGGCGTTTGATGCATACATTTGTACAAGTTTTTTTCAATGCAACTATTCAAAGTATCGTCATATTGTTAAATTCAGTTTTCATTGTTAATCTTGCACTCTTGCCATGTTTTACTTTTTTCTGTGCATTTAATTTCTAAAGGTTGACATTCAAAATGGATATAAAACAAACAGACACAGTGCACCCACCCCACTGCAAAAAGATATTGCCGTTAGGGACTACAGTACAAACACAGCTTTTATGATAAAACTTACTTCTGCGGTAACTGCTATACACCTGCCAATAATCTATCTTAACCCTTTTCATCTTACCTTTATCATTCAAAACAATGGTCAGGGTATCAACCATTCCAATCCCATTACCGCTGTTGCATGTATAAGAACCGTAGTCTCCCATTGCAGTCACTTGAATGATTTGTACGATGCTCCTCATGATGAATCCATACACATCATCTCCTTCAATAATGGTATCGACCTGAAATATCCTTCCCAGATTGGTCTGATTAGTTATCTCCACACCATCTGGACCCTGCCAGGTCATCCTGGGGAGGGGATGACCCTTGGCTACACATACAAGTGTAGCATTGAAGCCAGTGTTTGCCCCAACTGAGGTGTCATTCTTATTTAAAATCTCTACTCCATCTGGAATAAAAAGGGGAAAAGAAAATCAAATCTAATTTAAACATCCCTTTTTTTAAGCCTAAGCCTCTAAAATCCAAGACAAGAAACAGTTCTTACAGTGCACGATGACGTCAACGGAGCTGGAATGGACAACTGGTGGTATGCCGTTGTTGCCTCGACATCTGTACGACCCAGCCTGCTCCTTTCTGATGCTGCGTAGTGTAAGGTTGCTTGCACCTTCACTATAGACAGAGGGTAGAAAGACCAGAGACCCGACCCTCTCCCAGGTGATGAAGTTGGTAGGCTTAGGATTGGCGTCTGCACTGCAGGACAGGATTACTGTATCGCCCTCTTCTACAGGTCTGGTTGGCGTGAGAGTTGGCACTGAAAAGTCTGGAGGATCTGGACGATTGCAAGGTGAATCGTTTAACCTTTTTTAACTTTTCGTTTTTGTGGTACCTGATCTTTAGGGAAGCAACTTTTATCATGGAGAATAACTTTATGTGTAAACGTATACTTATTTATATCACCATTGGGGTTTTTGCACATCGCCTTTTACAAAAACAGTCATTAAAGTCATTACCACGTGAAAGCAGAAATCGACTTCTCGGCCTTGAGTCATCGAAATTTGATAATATTTCAGTGTAATCGACGTGACAACTATCCGCCCTCATTGCAAAGCTACGTTTCAGCTTGAGTAAATAGCAAACTAACAGACGGAAAAGTTTCACTTTTGAAATGTAATTTTCACTCACATTCTACATTAAGTACACAGG